TCTGTGATTAAACTAAAGATTTAAAAAGTAACGGCTGGCTTATTTCCACAAACTATAACACCTCCTATCTGTTTCAGAGTCATAAGGATCTGAGAACGAGTTAAAACGTCCTTTAAAAGGGACAGGCATGGTCCCCAGCACTCAGGATGTAGAAGGAGGACTCTGACTTCAAGGCCAGCCTGATCTACAGAGATCCTTCCAGGACAGCCAGAGAACTTAAAAGTATCAAGAAAGCATGCAAACATAAGGTACCCATAAACTAGCTGTGTGACCTATGCTACACAAGTCACTTTACCCTGGAGGTGCTTTTCCTTATTTTACAAATGGGAGAACAGGTATCCACAGATAAAACCTTTACACAATCATAGGGGCTAAAGCCAGAATTCCTAACCTGGGCCTTTTTCCAGTAAAAAATGTTTCAACCAGGTATGAAAAAAAAAAAAAAGCAAAGAAAAACTGTTTGATGTAGCAATGTGAACTTCAAGTTCTGCTTTGCCATCATTTTTTGGATAAGGTTATAGCTGAGTTTAAAGTAGATTACAAAAGTCAAAGGGAATCATAAACAAAACTAACAAAAAACAGCTGGGAATGGTAGCTCATACCTGTAATCCCAGCACCTGAGAGGTTAAGACAGGTCAACTGTCTTGAGTATTAGGCCAGCTTGGACTATACAGTTGAGTTCTGGGGCAGCCTAGACTACAGAGTTGAGACCCTACCTAACAAAAGAAAAATAAGCAAGACTACAGGCCTAAATATGGCTTAGTGGCACATCATCTGCTGGGAACCCCTGAGTTCAAACTACAGAAATTTAAAAGATAAAGATTACAATAAATTTATGAAATAAGTACTGTACTAACATCCAAATCTGGTGTTTGGCATTTAATTACGTAAATAAATGTTAATAAATCTTGTTCACTATCCATGTGACTTCTCAATGGTGTACACAACACACATACAAATTATAACACCAATTCTATACATCACAGAAAAAAGATTAAACAAAATACAATTATATAACATCTGGTTATATAACTGGTTATAACAGTTTTGGTGCCTGTCCTGGAACTCACTCTGTAGCCCAAGCTGGCCTTGAACTTACAGAGATGAGATCCCCTGGCTTTGCCTCCCGAGTGCTAGGATTAAAGGTGTGCACCACCACCGCCCGGCAATAGTATTTCTTTTAAGGAAATACAGAACTTATTTAACAGGCAGGACAACCTTTTTTTTTTTTTTTTGAGACAGGGTTT